TTTTTAAATTTTAAAAAGGCTAACGCCGCCTGGCACCCGCCCTCCCTCCGCCAGTCTTTGATAGTACCTGCTCTTATAAATGGGTTGCTTCTCTTAGTTCATGGATTGACTTCAATTTCTTTTCCTCGTCTTCTAAAAATTGTATTTGTTTAAAGAAAAAAAAAAAGAAAAAAAGAAAACCTTGGCGAGGAACTGATGCCATCTGGGTTTCAATTTTGGATGAAATTGAAGAAAGAATCCGAAGTCTTGGTTTTCTGGAACCCAAGTCTTTGAATTGAACATATCATAATTTAGCATTTAATGTTTTGCCATGTTTATGAATTTCTATAATAATCCTAAATGTTACAGGGCAAGCTGGAAGCGATGGTGGAGCTGCTGACAGGATAGTGTGGACTGGAGTTACTAGCTTGCTATTGTTTTTGGCCTTTGCAGTGCTATTTTAAGATGATGTATGGTATATACATTAGAGAAGTAATGTAATGCCAGGGGCGGTTCTTAGTCTTACAGGGCATCTAGTTGTACTTGAGATTTTGTTTTTCCATTGCTTGTTTTTCCATGTCATTGATACTATACTTTAGTAGATCATCATCTATTGTATTGATCAGATTATTTGTTAAAATAACATTATTATTGTGATTATATAAATTTTTATTTTTAAATGTTGTTTTTATGGAAAGGATTAGGAACCCATACAAACCACACAAAGAGGCTCTCAAAGTCTGAATGGGTTCCATCTGTTAAATTATTTTCGGGCAAAATATTTGGGCTTCGTTTGTTATTATCATTAATCATTATTGTTCTTCAAAAGAAAATGCCCAAGCCCAATTTATTCGGCTGGCCGGGAAAACACCAAAGCCCCAAAACCTGCTTAAAAAAGGATAAATCTAATTTAAAAAGAGGTCGAAGGAAATAAAAGATTGAATAATTTTATAAAGAATCTCACATTTAAAATATGGTAGAGACGTTCTAACCTTTTATAAAAAAAATTAAATTTAAAAATATAAAAAATTAAAGAAATAAAAAAAATTTACAAAATAGATTATATATAATTTATTTTATAAAATTAATTAAATATTTTTAATTTTATTTTCATATTATTTTTTAAAAAATATTTAAATAATTTTATAAAATAAACTATATACAATTCCATCTGTGTAATAGTTTTTTCTTTTTTTTCTTTTGAAAAAAAAAAAAGGTTGGAATTTTGGAATCCCGTATCCCTTATCCAATAGAAGTTACTCGAAGAAGCCAAAGACACCGATACCGAATCCTGAATACAAGCCGACAGCTGCTGTCCCCTACCTCAACGAAAAGGGAAAGCTCCGCCTCTGAGTAGTCCAGAAGCCACCGTTGCCGACACCGTGATTCTCCAAAACCGGTCAACACTTCCGTAACCGGTACAGGATGGACGCATCAAAATTGAACGAGTTCAAAAAGTTCATCGATCAGTGCAAATCCAATCCCTCTATACTCAGTGATCCATCCCTCTCCTTCTTTCGTGACTATCTTGAAAGGTAAACACAATGTCTTCCACTTCCACCTGTTTTCCATGTGATTGATTATCTTCGTCTCTTGCTCTTATTTTGCTGCTGTAATGGTTGGTTTCAGTCTCGGAGCTAAGCTCCCTCCCTCTGCTTACAACCATGGCGACTCCAAATCCGTAAGTTTGAACTTCAATTGCTTTATTATTTTGTCTGCTTAGGGATTGTTTGCTTTGAATGAGGATTAAATCTGCAGAAAGTGATGGAGGAGAGCGATGAGGCGATGGCGGATACTGAAGAAGCGAAAGTGAAGTTTGAGGAAGAAGAGGAAGATGAGATAATTGAATCGGATGTTGAGCTCGAAGGTGAGACTGTGGAGCCTGATGATGATCCTCCTCAGAAGGTACATATGAGTTCGCAACAGATTTCTAGAGTGCTTGTTATTTGATGAGTTGTGGTTTTTGGTGTTTTAATGTAAATGCATTGGTCTTAGCAGATGGGAGATCCTAGTGTTGAGGTAACAGATGAGAGCCGCGAAGCTTCTCAAGCAGCTAAGGCCAAAGCCATGGAGGTTCTTTCTGAGGGTGCATTTCTGCTTCTTCAAATTAAATCTTTGTGCGCTCTGTGTTTCAATATTCGTTTGTAGTTAATGGTTGAATGTAATGCAGGGAAGTTGGAGGAAGCTGTTGAGCATCTGACCGAGGCCATCTCGCTGAATCCAACTTCAGCAATTATGTATGGAACAAGAGGTAAATGCTGCTTTGATGTCTGTGATATAGACAATGAGATGTTATTTTTCCTGAATTTTTTAGCTAAGGTCTCATATTTGTTGTCAAATTTTGTTTGGTTTTATCATGATTTCTCAGCTAGTGTTTACATCAAGATGAAGAAGCCCAATGCTGCTATTCGAGATGCCAACGCTGCTTTAGAGGTTTGTATACAAGTTGTTATTTACTTTGGCGTTAAAGTATCTTCCTGTGTTTGCTACTTTGCTTCTTTGGTAAATAGATAAATGGTAATTACATGAATTCTGTGAATCATATGTTGTGTGACAGTGTTCAATCTAAGTTTGTAAGCATATAGGTAGACTTTTATCATTTTCATGCAATCATTAAATTACTTTGCCCCATTTCTCCATCTAAAATGTTTTATACTAACGAGTAGCATTCTGCATTTGTGTTTATGGTTTAAGAATTCTCACAAACTCTATAATATGACGTTTGAGAAATATATTTTAAATTTTTATTCTGTTTATCTCAGATTAACCCAGATTCAGCAAAGGGTTACAAGTCTCGTGGTATTGCACGAGCAATGCTTGGTCTGTGGGAAGAGGCTGCAAAGGATCTACATCTGGCATCGAAGTTAGATTATGATGAGGAGATCAGCAGTGTACTTAAGAAGGTATATGAACTTATTGCCAGTATCAAGGGTTAAAGTGAAAGCATTGGGTAGAGACATATGATTACCCTATGTTGCATAAAGTTCAACCTTCTTTGGCCATTCTCTCTAATTCCTCATCTTAGCAGGTTGAACCCAATGCACACCGCCTTGAGGAACACTGTAGGAAGTATGAAAGGTTGCGAAAAGAGAGAGAGGAGAGAAAGATTGAGCGTGAACGACAGCGTCGCCGAGCTGAAGCTCAAGTAATCCAATACTCATCAGTCTTCTTATGGTCTTGTATTATTGTTGGTTTTCTGCATGGCTGATTCTGTTATGTTTTCTGCTTAAGGCCGCATATGAGAAGGCTAAGAAGCAAGAGCAATCATCCACCAGTAGAAAACCTGGAGGCATGCCTGGTGGGTTTCCGGGTGGAATGCCTGGAGGCTTCCCAGGAGGTATGCCTGGAGGTTTCCCTGGTAGCATGCCTGGTGGAATGCCTGGCAATGTTGATTACAGCAAAATATTGAACGTAAGTGTGGCACAACGTGCAACAGGACAAAAAATTGATGACTACTAAATTGACTGTCTGTTCATTTCAAGACTTGTATCTTGCATATGTTTTTTTGCTTTATATTGCGAATCAATGATTGTGCTATGTGCTGTTTCTTGATTTTTATTTTTATTTTTTTTTTCCTGTTGATGTTTCTTTGAGCAGGACCCTGAATTGATGGCAGCATTTAGTGATCCAGAAGTTATGGCTGCTCTTCAAGATGGTGATGCTTCCTTCTCTACTTTTCTATTTATGCATTTTGTCCCTTTATCTCCTCGATCAGGCAACTTATTTCTTACAACTGTGGAGTGTTCTCTTTTTCCCTGTTGACCAATAACTACTAGTCAATTTGGATTCCTTGAGAACAAATAATATTCTCCCTGTAAAAAATAAGTTTTAGGAACATCTGGTTGCACCTAGTCCTTGGTTCTGAGATTAGCTTCTTAGAGGTTCAAAAAAGTGCAACCTTGCCTATGGTGGAAAATTTTGCAGCAAAAGGGACTCTTGTTGTTGACTTCCATATAGTTCAGTCTTTGAAGCTTTATTTTATTAAGCTGGTTATCAAATCTGTCTGGTTAAGGCATTGTTTATTCTTGTATACCGTAGACCATAGCCTTCTAATCATGTTTATCTTAGTGCATCCATGTTATGTTTCAATTTAACCATGAGCTTCTAGTTTTAGTCTGTTTAAATTAGGAATATGATATGAATATCACAATCCTTTGGAATCTTCCTCGCACGACATGTTGTCTCATGGTGTGTCTGGTTCATTAGCTCAGTTTTTTGCTTCAAATATCCTGTTCTTTTAGGGATGTGAACGGTAAATATATAGCATTTGTCCTGGTGAAATATCATTTTATCTTTACCTGGATGATTTTTAAATGTTTAATTGATCTGGCTACCATCTCTTTTAGTTGATAATACATGTTTCTAAGCTTTTTTAATGCAAACAAGGCTTAGAAGACTTTTCTTGATATTGACTTTGTATGCCTGAAGAGTTCTCAGCTTGTCTGACTGATTTTGTTCTTTTATTGTGTTTCACAGTAATGACTAACCCTGCTAATCTTGCAAAGCATCAAGCAAATCCGAAGGTGGCTCCTGTCATTGCAAAGATGATGAGCAAATTTCCAGGGCCAAAATAAATAGCTTTTCTTTTCAAATCAATTGGACATCCCATTGACCTTTTAATACTTGTTTTCAAGGTGTCACAGCTTAAGCAAATTATGTTTCAAAACTTACTTTGATTTTCATTAACATTGTACATGGTCAGTGTTGAAGGTCTTGTAAACAGGAAAGAAGCTGTAAGGATTGTGGGCCGCCTTTGAGTTCTTATCCATCTACGTGCCCATGTTTATTGTTTCTCTTGCCCAGGGATGGCTACGGAATATGGATTCATCCTCATTGGATCCTCTAAAAACATCTTTAGCAGCAAAATAATCTTCTCAAAACTTTTAACTTTATTTTCAGATTAAAAAAAAAAAAGCATCATTTTGACATTGTTTCCTCGCTTGAAAAAAAAAAAAAAAAAAAGTGGATCCCTTCTTTCCCTCTAAAGCTATAAAGTACCCTTCAGTAGTACAATCCTTTCCAGTCAATCAGTGTTCTATCCCTACAGTTGAGTTAAAAGTCGGTAAGCAACTAAAGCCTTTCTCTCGTATTTCTTTGGCTCATGCTTCGAATTAAACGAAGGACAAAGACATACCACCTATTATGAGGTAACCTCCCAATGGCCTACGGGAGAAACGAGTCACTGTTCCATTTTTTATTTTCCCGTTAGTCACTATAAGGCGAACTTAGAAAGCGCACCCACTTGTTAATATAGCCTTTTAAGCTCACCCACTTGTTAATATAACTTATCACTAACCCTAGTGATTGGATCTAGTTAACAAATATCATATTGTAAGGAATGATTAGTTTCAAAATACATAAAAATTAATTTAAAAATACTTTGATGATTAGATGAAAAAAAAAGAAAAGAAAAAAGAACTACCACCGCTTAATGACCCAACAAAAGTTTTTTTATATTATCTTCCCGAGTTGAAACTAGAGAGAGTAACACCTCACAAGATTGAGGCATAAAAAAAAGTAAGCAAATGTATAATTTCTCCAAATCCTTTTCAAAGAAAAAACCCCTGTCTGCCTATTTTATTTCAAGCTAGATTTGATCTTTACATTCCTCAAATTTCCTCACCAACCATTTTCTTAATTGGGCATTCATTATTGCACCATAAAATGTCATGTCGTTATAATCAACATTAGGAAGGAACAATTTGAAGTATATTTTGGATTTAAAAAAAAAAAAGGTAACTAATCGTGGAGTTCATCAAAACAGAGATTTTATTATTTACTGTGGTAATTAATCTTGACCCTCAGTGGTGTGATTGGATAAAATATCGTAAAATTAGAAAGAGTTGAGAGTTGAGATTGGATAACTAATATCTATCTTAAATATTTTCCGTTATTTCATTTTATAAGAAAGAAAAAAAAAGTTGATAAAATTGAGAAATAAAGATAATCATTACTAAAGAGTCATATATGTTCTTCATTAATTACCTAACTTAACATAAAAAAATAATAATTAATTAACTCTTCCAACCAAACATAATCCAAAAGTCTAATAAAAACCTTTTGATTGACCCCATCTTGGGTTATATATTTTTGAACTTGGTTTAGTCTATATATAATTATGTAATTTTTGTTCTAAATGACGAGTGCATTACTCAAAAATTATGTAATTATTAAGCAATGGACCATTAATCAAAATACACTGTTTTCTGATTTATAATAATTAACATGCTGAAAACGCCTATAACGGGAATAGTTTTACCACAACGTTTTATGAATTTCCCCGTTGGGTAGTTCATGAGTCGCTTTAATGTGTGCCTAATGGTATTCATATTCATGTCATGATGTACACATTCTCTTTTGGACTTTCATCACCAACTTGTTACACTTTGACGCGACGTCTTTAAAAAAAATCCAGTTAATGCTTCTCATTAATTAAATTAAATTAAATTAAATTAATTTTAGCTATACACTGCTTTCACGACACATTTTGACTTTATACGCAATTGAAAATACCCTTTCAATTCAATTTTAATTAGTTTAACCTTTTTAAAATAAAATAAACATATAATAATTAATTCAAAACTATTTATTTATAATTAATTATTATTTAAATAAATTATTTCTTAGAATAACAATAAAATTAAAAAAAATAACATCTTAAAAAATAAATAAGTAAATTTAAACACTTTAAATTAAAAATTAAATCCATTAAAAATTAAAAGAAGAAAATGTTTTTGCATAGCAAATCAATTACGATTGAGAATTTTGTTTTTTCTAGGGATAGTATTTGTTGAGGTCATAGTTTTAATTAATTTAAAAATTTGTTAATCATCATTCATATACTATATATACAAATATTATTTAAAATTGTTGTATGGTAAATCAATTAAGATGACTAGTGGGTTCGGTATAGGCCTCTATCGGGGTCGATTTGGCGTTCCCCATTAGAGGTGTTTGTCCTTGGATCCAACATCAACTTCCGCTTTAAAAGCTCTAGGTTTTCATTTTTTTTTTTTCGGGGCTATTATAACATATTAGATAGAGATGGTGGAAAATTAAAATGGTTTGATAATTAAAATATTAAAAATAATGATAAAAAAAATTTGAATGACCTTAATGAATTAATATATAAAGAAAATTTATTATTTATTAAGAAAATTTGAAAAATTTTATAAACAATCTTGATATTTCAAAGGTCAAAACATCTTAATTTTTGCTTTTATCTATTATATATATTATGTGATTTAATATTTTTTTTATTTAAGAAAGTGGTTCAATATATCTTTTTGTTATTGTTAATTTTGATTAATGAAAGTTCATATTTCTATATAAAAAAAATTTATGGCTCTATATAATTAATTTGATATCATCAACAAACGAAAAGAATTTTGTTTAAACATGGTGTTTTAAGTGTTACACATTTCAGATTATTTAATTACTTTCTTTTAAAATCTCTATTTATCTTTTATTTTTTTTTTAAAAAAATAAACATATAAATTATTCTCAAATATTTAATTTTTAAAAAAAATTCAAAAAAATGCTGTTGAAGCAAATTAGGGTCGTTCCCTACGTTAAAGTGACCATGAACTAGCAACTGCAACAATTATGGCTGAGCAATGCCGCTCGCCCTTTCTCGATCGACTACCTTAATTAACACGATTTCACTTGCTTTATATACCTAGAACTAAATACTTACATTAATTAAAATTTCTGACTTCTAGCTATATATCCAATGATGTACGGACGTGGATCGATGGCTTTTTAAGTGTACGTAATTGGTTTAATTCTTGTGATGACAGGAGCAGAACTTCTGCGTGGATGTATGTTGTGTGTTTTTACACCTTTATACACCTAAAAATAAATAAATGCATTAATTAATTAAAATATGTTAAACTACTAGCTATAGAGTTATATTCAAGGATGTAAGGACGTGTGTGGATGGGTGTTTTGGTATATAATTCTTGTAATGGCAGAACTAGTTCTACGTGGATGATTTGTTTGTGTTAAGGATATTGTTTTGATTGTTGGGAGATGATGAGCAATTGAGCACGTAGCAAGTGTTGTTAATTTGTACAAATGGCGACTCTTCAGTCTTCACACCAAGGGGTGGTAGGAAGAACAATCGGTTTACCATTTCTTCTGCATATCTTTTCCTTATGGGGAACATGTTTGTCCACATGATTTGCATGAATATATAAACATATATAGGGGATACAAGTTAATCTTACAATGAATAGATATCACTCCTTTATTTATTTATTAGTATACAAAAAGATTAAAAAAAAATAAAAATCGCTATAAGTCTAGGGTTTAGCTAAGGATGGAAGAGGGTCCACATTGATTAAAACCGTGCCATTGCCCC